TCTCTTTCTGCATGGACCTCAACCTTTCCTCCTCCACTCCCTCCTCGACCTTCCGAGCAGATTTCCCTTTCCTTTCCAGCATTTCACTGGAAAATTCTCCCCCGAAACCCGGGATCGGCTTCTCTCTTGACCTCGAGGCTCCTCCTCCGCCTCCTCCGAACGAGAATGGTTTCTTCTACAGGCTCCTCAACAGCCCTTATACCGACCATCTCGACCATGACCTCTACTTCACCGGCGAGGGCTCCTCGTCGAACCTTTTCGCCTGGGTGGTCTCGACCCCACAGCTCAACCAGCCATTTCATCGCCCACCCCCCGATCCTTACCCGACTGCAAGGTTCCCCGGAGGGTTCGACCTCCACGCGCCGCTGCTGCAGCAGACCCCCCCTCCTCCTCCGTCTGTGGACGCCTCGCCGAAGAGCAGGGACGACAGCGTCGGCATAGCAGCGCATGGTGAGCTTGAGTTCAAGAGCCTCTTCGACTGCTCTCGGGGTAGCGCCACGGTGGACCACCAGATCACGCCTTTGCTCGACTTAAATGATCTTGGATCGCTGAACGCGAAGCTCGGTGAAAGGGTCTCTTCGGTTGATGTGACCTCGGATCGCAAATGGGGTCGTGAGCCAGACGATATCAGCAATGATCGGAGCAAGAGAACGGTGGTGATATGTCTGCCGCAGCAGCAGCAGCAGCAGAAGGAGACAACGGCGAAGAAGAAGAGAGAGAATGGGGACGGCAATGTTGACAAGAAGCCCTTGGTCGTCAAAGGTCAATGGACTCCTAAGGAAGACAGGTTTAGTCTTGAAATATATCGCCTTCATTTTCTTTCTTCTTCCTCCTCAATTTTTTTTCTTTTTTGGGTTTTTGAATGTTTTCTTAGATATCTATGTTGTTAGCTTAATTAAGTTATATAGGTTTCTGGGTATGTTTTTTTTTCTTCTTTTTTGAAATTCTGTGGTTGATATATGATGAAGAAAATTACTCTTTGTATGAGTATCATCTTTTTCTCATTTTTGTGCAGGCACTTGATGAGGTTGGTTCATATGCATGGAACGAAAAATTGGTGTCTAATTGCTCAGATGTTGAACGGAAGAATTGGAAAACAATGCAGGGAGAGATGGCATAACCATTTGAGGCCTGATATCAAGGTTTTTTTTTTCCTTTATTATTGTTTAAAAATAGTTTTTTTGCCCAAGTTCACTACTTCTTTAGACCCTACCACCATGAAACCTTCCATTTTATGAATTTGCATTCACCATCATATCCATTTGGTCATTTATTCATAAAAAGAATCATAGTTAGATTTGATAAATGATCACATACATATGGGATGTGTATCTGGACACATACATATGGTATGCATATAGATTTAAGAATATGAGCATTCAACAATCTTTTGTGATTTGGCATAGTTGATTTTTCACAAAAGCAGGCAATAATAACACCACCCATACACGCCATAATTGACGATATGCGTTTCTTTTATTGCCTCTCAACAGAAAAAATGACTTTATTTCCTTACTTTATCGACGCGTGTCGTTTAGTGCATGGAATTCGTGACACTATTTGATTTTTTTTTGTCGGTATTAAGTTTTTCATTAACACACAAGGTTTCCGTTGCACTCCTCATCCTGCATTGTTTAGTCCATATGCGACAACGCATAGGCATGCATGGTGACGAGTGGTCACGCAGACCGGGTTTATCGGAACCATGCCTAATAAGCAGGGCTGTAAAAATATCAAAAGATGCTTTTGAAACTTATTGAACGTAAATGGTTTTATTTTTCTAAGTTTTAGTGATTAAAATATTGCGTGAACTCTTGATGCACTTCCATGCCCTAGCTCAGCAGCTAATTAAAAGAGGTTAACTCCATTTGATGAACTCCAAATTCTTCCATTTAACACACGACATATACCTATGTATTTGCCCGAAACATACATTTAGGAATGCATATATAACTCTATACATGAATAAGATCCACCACTAAAAAGGGTGTAAATACATTCACTATGAATTTTCCTCGTTTTTCCCCTGTTATATGTATCAAGAAAACATCTGTAACTCTCTACACCTATACGGTAAATATAAATACTTTGTAATCTATTTGATCAGTTCAAACTGAAATACCCAATTACTATTGATTGTACTAATGAAGTGTAATCAAAGACACACTGCCAATATGTAAGACTCCGGAAAAAACCCGAACTCAAACCCTAGAGTAAGTTTTTCTCTCTCCTCCTCCTCCTCTTCTTCGTTTGGCTCTCATCATTTTCTTAGCAGAAGGACGCTTGGAGCATCGAGGAAGACAAGATCCTGATTCAGTCACACAAGGAGATTGGGAACAGATGGGCTGAGATAGCCAAGAGATTGGCCGGGAGGACCGAAAACACCATCAAGAACCACTGGAATGCCATCAAGCGCAGGCAATACTGTAAGCGCAAGTTGCTCCCCCACACCAACAGCTCCAACCTCTTGCAAAACTACATCAGGAGTGTCACCACTCCAACTCCTCCAAAACAGTCGACACCAGCTCGTGGTCACGACCTTGGCGACCGCTACCGCCACAAGACCAAGAAGCAGTCGTTATCCTCGTTGGCAGCGGTCAATTTCCGTGGCTCGGACGTGCAGCCTGAAGCAGCCAACCACCCCCGGCAGGTGCCGGAGACCCATCACCACCACCAGCCGCTGCCAACTCAGAGGCCAGCCGGCAGTGTCTTGGGGTTTCCGATGGTCGATGGGAATGGGAATCTTGGGCTTTATCCGGTGATGGACCATCATCATTATCATCAAAATTATCACCATCATGTGCTGAGTGAAGGTGGCGGTGGTGGGAGCGAAGAGAGCGATTATGATGATCGTGAGTTGGACTTGGAGATGAGCTTGGAGATTGGCGATAGCCACCACCATCGTTGCCATCATCACCCTAATCACCATCACCATCAGGAGAAGAGGGAGCTGGACTTGCTCGAGATGATCGCTCAGCGAAGTGGCTAATTCCGAATTCATAAAAGCCCCAGTAGGTAGTGAATACCCTTACAGTATAGCTGCTTCCGAAAATTGTTGTCCTTGTGTTAATCTTCTGGGCCCAGTTTGCTTATCTGAGATCTAATGTTGTTGTTCTAGTAATAATAGCATGTGAGATAGAGACTTCTTTCGTATTTTATTTTCTCTATGTGGAGACTATGTTAGGGTTTATGAGATAGACCGGGGAGAGGTCTAATACTATTACATATGCATGTGTTTAGCTTTGGTTATTCTCTGTTTGCCTTGACGGCTTCGGTAATAGATTAAGGCTTCCATCACTATCTCTCCACTATTAACTAATTTGCTAGATGGAAACAAAGCAGAAAAGGTAATGGAACTGGAGATGTATTTGAGCAAAATATATGCATGTAATTTCTACAATGAGACCAATTAAGAATTATATTCATAGTGTCACCAAAAACCTTTCACAAAGTATTAAGTGAGAGAATCTTATTAATTACTCCTCTTTTCAGGAAAAGATCAAACCCTACCTCTTTTAGTCATGTAAGAAGCTTCTGAATGATTATAAAGTTTGGAAGTTGGAAATTCTCTAACAATAGAACTTTTGTTCGACCCTTTAGCGTCGTGGATGCATACATAAGTGAAAAGATACTGTAACTTTGGAAAGATCATATGATATAAGTACAGTTTGAATTTTCAATTCTTTAGCTTCGATTGGTCAACTGCCTTATGCATGTTTGAAGCTAAATGCATTCCCAACCAGAAAAAGATTATCAAGGACACTAAATTTTTATATTTTAATTGTTATTATTATTGCTAAAGCAGCATGATGAGATAATTTGCATGGAAACATGGTGACAACCCCATCTTTTAGCGCTTTTGAGGCCCCGTTAGAGCTGAACCTTGACCAGGGTACTATCGGGTCATGCGGTCCATTGAACCCATTATTTGCACTTGCTTTGCTTGACTTTATATTTGTATGATATGGACTCCCGATTTAAACAAGTTCATTACTCCGTTTATTTCGTGAAAAATGAATAATTCGAAAAATATTTTCCTAAAAAGGATTGCTTATATTGTTTAAAATAATTAGTTAATAATAAATGTTTTCATTATTGATAACAATTTAGGTCTAAACATTTTTATGGGGAAAATTGTCCAATAATATTTTAATAATTTTATGATTTTTTTATGCTTTTTTCTTCTTACCTTTTGCTCTGTTTTTTGTCTGGGTTTCAACTTAGGGCCGGCAAAGGTGGCCGGCCGACCCTCGCCGGCCACGAGCAAGGGCCGGCGACCCTCGCCATCTCTAAGGGAGGGCATCACGGCCCTCGCCTAGAGCCGGCGAGGGTCGCCGGCCCTCACCCGTGGCCGGTGAGGGTCGGCCGGCCATCCTCGCCGAGCCCTAATTGCAAACCCAGAAAAAACAGAGAAAAGGAAAAAAAGAAAAGAAAAAGCATAAAAATTATTTAAAAATTATTTAAAAATGTCAACGTCGCGCCACGTGGCCGTCCGGCGTCAACGTCAGCGATTTCGGCCAAAATTGGTCGGATGGACTCAATTGGCAAGAAATGAAAAGGTTTAGGACTCAACTGCAAGAAATGAAAAGGTTTAGACTCAATTGGTAAAGTTGAAAGGTTTAAGATGAATTGACAAAAGTACAAGTTTAGGACTGTTTACAATTTTCCCCATTTTTATGAATGATGATGATACTTTTCATTCATTCATTGTTGGAAGCAATAGAAGCTATCATTTTTAGGAAAATGTTTTCCAAATCATTTAGACTCTTAAATTGTGAGACATAGGCGGCTCCTTTTTTGGAACTAGTCTGATTTTTCATTACACGATTTTTCATGAATGTGGTCCTTCGAATCCCCCAAAAGGTAACGCAAAGGCTTGAGTAGTCGTCTTCCATGTCCCGAAGGAAATGATCTAGATCACAAGAAGGGAATAGGTATAACCCTTCACAAAGCGCACGCCCTCGAGACAAAATTCCATGTCCAACTAGTCATTGAAATCCTCCATCCAGAGAGGAATATAAAATATATATGTCGCGCAACAAATCCCTATTACAGTTAACATCAGGATATCAGAACTAGGACGAACTAGTCATCGGCATTACGATTCCGGGTGTCAATAGACGTCCTCTGTTTTGCGGAGTATATCGTGCAACATATCGCAAGAACAGTCAAACATCGGCATATTAGAACTAGGATGAAAGAGATCTTTAAAGAATCGCGTTCCTTATCATCAGCTGAGACGTTCTTGCGGTCCTCGTGAGCAATGGCCCCAACCTCAACTCCGGTAAACCTCAGATATTGCACAAAAGAATGCGAAATGAAAGTATATCAGAGATGAGGATTGGCAGAAAGGAGAAGACTCTTCGGGCCTAAAGTTCCCTGATTTGAGATGCAACTCTGGAGCTTCTTCATAGAGCACCTTCGAACAAGCTCTCTGTGAGCAAATATCGCAACTCCTATCAATTCGGGAGGCGGCAATTCTAGGTTGCCTGAGTCAAGAACAGACAGAGCCACCAACCAACCACAAATATTCCGAAGAGGGAATTCCCGTAGAGATTTGAATATGCACGCATAACTCTTCATAGTATCTCAGGCTTGCTACAGCTTTTATGTGGAGCATTTGAGTCTGGCAAATGTCAAATACCCGGTATGGCCTCTGGCTTCAGCAGACGGCCTTGCCATGACAACTGAACTCATGCTCTCCTGCTTGTCGCTTCCTTCACTAGTCTGCCTTCTCTTGCATGGAGGCTGCCGACGAGGGCTGCCTCCCTTACCTCGCATACTATTGATCTTAGCCTCCCGAACTTCGAATGTGCGAAGAAGCACCTCAAAGGTCCGTATGTCTAGACACGTGAAACGGATCCATGGCCATCAATGTTAGAGTGAAAGACAATTACAGCAAGAATATCCAACAAAATTAGATTGCCTATAGACAAGGGAAATCCTGTACGGTCAACTCAATCCATAATACAGACAAAAAAAAAAAAATAAAAAATCAATCCATAAAAAATATAGTAACGTGGAAGAGTTAGTAGAAATGAGAGCGTTTACCAGTAAAGTTCATTCTGAGTGCTTCACATGAGCGCTGCACTTGTTCAATGCAAGGTGAGAAAGAGCATAAAGTGGCATCTGGTTTGAGCATTTTCGCAGCAGACACTATGACCAACCAAGGTCGCGGGAGGTCCAAGAACACAGCATCGGCCATGCCACAGAGTTCATCAGGAAATCCCTTGCCCTGGATGTCCCTAACCCCAACCGTGACCATGCTGCTCACTCCTGTTCTCTCGAAGTCCTCCCTGTCGGAAGGAAAAAGTCAAGTCAGCATGTTTAGAGAATACAAAGGGCAATAGACTTTCGAGTTTGCAGCAATAAAACCAGAAACTCTCTAGGCGAATTCTTATTGTTTGAAATCAGAAAAACTCTCAAACTCAGGTCCAATTACACAGATATTACTTCACCCACGACTAGTTCAGCTCTACCTTAACACAGTTTGAAGGAGGGATAAGAAAGGAAGAGAAGGATTTTAAAAATACGATCATGTTTGTATGGAGGGAAAAAGAAGGAAAGGAATAGGAGGGACTGGTAAAGTCATTTTTACGTACATTGTAAATCCCTCTAAATCCGTCCATATAGGGAGGATTAGGAGGGGTTTCCGCATTAACAAAAAAGCTTTTTCTTATTTGTCACTTTTATTCTTATTTGATTTAAGTCATAACGCATTTTTTCCCTTCCTTTTCTCTCATTAGTCATTAGCATCCAAACATCATTGTAACTCGATCCTTTCAAACCATTTTCCCTTCTTTTATCCGGTAGTTATCCGAGTCTCTTCTTTTTCTTTCTCGTCACCCCTACCAAACATAGTGTAAAAGCTTTTATGAAGGAAGACATTAAGAAAACAGTGAAATTTTGCATACACTCTGTTTTAGCTTAGGAGATCTCAAGGAGTAACTTAAGCAAGCCAAAACTCAAAACTACAAACAGGAATCAACAAACCTGTTTGGCAAAAGTAGCCACAGAATCTAAGATACCAAAAGATCAAGCCAAGCAGCCAAACAAAACAGCAAGGCATACCCATTTACAACATGTAAGGGACACCACCATAGTGAGGACTCATGAATATTACCTAGCAGATGCAGCTCTTTGTTCATGAAAATCAAATGTATACACATGACCTGTAGGAGCCACAGCCCTTGTCAGCGATGTGGTTAACGACCCGCTTCCTGTTCCCGATTCGAGAACCAGACAACCAGGAACTATTTCCAAGTACATGATCACGAAGCTTATGTCCGTGATGTAAAGTATTTGAGTCCTGTGGCTTAATACCAGAGTCCACAACTCCGGAGAAGGAGCCAGCAAGTAGACATATCTGCTCCTGTTGCTATACACCTTGGACCCAAAGGGTAACCCTATCCAATCGGAATGTTTGAACACGCCGAAACGGTTCTGGAAAACTGACCCCTCGCACACGTTAACAGCCTTCATTGTATCGTGTCTCTCGTACACAATCACCAAATCTCCATCGGCAATGAGCTTATTGAAGGATAGTTTCTTCGAGGTGTCAAGAGCCAACATTATTCTTTTTGAAGATCTCGATTTGCTTATTGCAAATCAACACGAATAATTACCTGAAAGAGCACGAAGTACAAGGATTAGCTAATCCGCATAATGCCAATAGCACATAGCACATATCTGAGGAAATCACTTGTTCTTGTGATTGTGACAGCGAGAAGCTCCCCCAGCGTCAAGCTCCCTTGATGGCATGGAGCTCGACGCCTTTGAGGCCATCGAGTGGGTGAAAGCCACTGAATTCACTGCTGTCGATGAGATACAGCTCGTCGAGGGAGACCAGACGAAACTTGAACAGCATCGAGCTTTGTTGTGGCAAGGAGCTCAACCATCCAGCAACAGTTGGAGCTGTGAGACAAGAGGGAGTAAGAGACCAAAGATGGAGATGGATAGAGACAGAGAGAAAACAGAGACAGAGAGATGCACCCAGAGATGGCAGATACGGAGGGCAGCGGCGGCAGCTGCTTTATCCGAATTAGGTTCAGATATTTCCAATAAAAAAAGGGAAATTGAAGTTTCATGAGATTTTCAATTTTTGTCCATTCAAGGCCCAGTTTTCTGTTGAACAAGACAACTACCAGATCCGTCAAAAAACAAAAAACTTCCTTTCACAGGACTCTAACAAAGATTTTATGCTCCTTGCATTTTCTCCAGCTGCTTGCCTCTATATATCTTAGCTACACCTACGAACATATAATGTCGATGCAACTAGTTTTGTGGACAGGTGAGTGGAGCTGGCACATTTTGTTCGCGAGCTTCTGTCGAATGGTGTTTTGATTTCCTACCGATAGATATCCTCTTCAAACTTGCCTCCTAGATTCCAAAATTCAGTTTATTCAGTGCAAAGTTGACTTGGATTGGGGTCACTGTTTTCAACCTGGATAAACTTACGAATTAGTTCAGACATCAACTGATTCGCTTTGATCATTCTGTCGGCACACACGACATACATGATCTTCTCGGCACGTTCTACTGTCAATGTGTATATGATCCTCACTTAGGGACACCAACATCAATAACTCCCTAAGGTCAGAATTAGTTTACAATGTCCCGACTCGCAAAGCAACTCTACTCGACTTCAGTCCAATAAACTAACACTTTCGCATCGTACACACAAGTGCAACTAGATGTCATTTGTAATACATGTGAATACACAGGCATGTTAAACAACTTAAAAATGAAACCAAATCCAGCTACAACCTCGCAGGCAGAACAGGGGAACCGCAGGGAACATCTAGAAAAGGAAGAGGACTAAGGCAGAGAGACTCACCCTCCCGATCCAATTCGACTGCCTCAAGATTGGCTCTCCTGCTGAGGACGACAGCAGCTTCGTCGCACCGACCGCAGAAGGGACAGCTCTGCAACACGAACGACAGCAATCGCGACCGCGATGATTCAGCTGCCGCGCGCGCGAAAGAGCGATGCCTGAAGACGACGACAGGGCTCGGAAGAGACGATGGTACTTTTCTTGGGCCGATAGTGGGCTCCAATTTGCTTGGGCTTGGTTGGAGATGGGCAAGTTCTTGCATTTCAGCGCACGTTACACCGCCTGAAGAAAGCAAGACGGTGGGGGTCTGGGTGATGGGGATATGGTGATGCAGACATGGTCATGGAGTCGCAGAGAGCGAGAGATGACGACTGTCGACTGGTAGGGACGTGAGTGGAGTCGTTCGTCGAGGAAGGAGACCACCCCGTCGCTTTCTCTCTCTCTAAGGAGCTTCTGGGTCGGCGAGGAAGAGCTCTTCGGCTTCGGCAATGGCTCAGTTCGCCGCGGCTCAAGGACGCGTGAAGCTCCTCTTCAACGGCGATGGAGTGTCCTCCTCCTCCGCCGCATTGGAGCCGAAAGACTTGTTTTTCTGCAACAACCGCGCGTCGGCCCGGCTCCGGAGGCGCGGCTTCGGGCTTCTCCGGTCGCCTCCCGCGAGACTTGGCTCGCGCTCCGCCGCCGGCGAAGCTCGACGTCTCGGAGCGGAGCTCGCGCGGTCGAGCGTCGGGGCGGACGGTCTCGACGACTACGATTACGACAGCGACGCCGAGACCGACGACTTGGCGTGTTTCCGAGGCCTCGTCTTGGACATCGCTTACAGGTCCCTCGTTAATCTCTTTGATTTCCCGTTGATTGTGTTGTCTGTCATTGCTTTTGGCCTCTGCAAAATCGTAGCTTTGAATGAGCATTGTCTTCTTAGTTCGATGTAACCACGTGGGGATACGTCAACTAGTTGATTATCACATTCTAAGCTCCTCTGGTAGATTTCCCCTGTTCATAGGGCAACTCATAACTTGCTTGATAATGGATCGTGTAGCTCGTTTGTTACGTCCGCCGTCGCTTGTTTGTTGGACCTGCTTGGTAGAATCGAGGAAGTATTCAGAGAGTGAACTAGATAGGAGTAAGAACCACACATGACATTCTCCCGCGTAATTTTCGGCGGGTGTTTCGCTCCCGGAGGGCATTGATTGTGTAAGAAGATCGATGGTACCGATTCTCGAAAGTTTCTTCGGTTTGCTGTGATGGAGTTAAAAGTATGTTGTCTTGGTGCCATTACCTGATAGTTGATAGTTGGTGTTAGAAGTAGCGGCAATTCACGCGAGCTTGTTTATGTGCATAAGTTGTCGATAAGTTCTTCCTCCCTTTTTTCTGTTATGATACCGTGTCTGTGCTTTTTGTGAGGAGCATAGGCACCTAGTTGTTTCCTCGAAGTCCAAATTGCCTCTTACCCATGAAGAAGAGAAGTTCTAACTGCTTTTACACTGCTCCAGGCCTGTTGATGTCGTCAGCTGGAGACGTGCTATTTGCATGGAATTCATGGAGAAGGTCGGACCTTTGTTATTTTTAAGAGCAGACGAAATTAATTTGTATCTTGCTTACACGTTATGCTAGAAGGTCATTTTTTATAACAATAATTGCTTTATCATTCAAAGTTAATTATCAAGGAAGTTCTTGGTGTTTTGGAGTCAATTGAAGAAGAATTCCTTCTATATTTCACGCCACAACTGACTAGTAGTGATGTTTTAGCAAGCATCGTAAGTGCAGTGGTTGGCATTAATTGGACTTCCAGTTTGTCATCTATTTTTTTTTCTTTATCTTTGTCTCAACAAATGCCTGCTTATCCATCTTGCCCTCTTCATAGCTACTTCATACTAGCTGACATTCAAGGATTTAGCTTTTAAAAGTTGACTGCTGGGCCCTTCATTCCAGGCTGATGTGCTTGAGTATTATGATCAAACTGTAGACTCTCCAAGCGGTTCATTCTACATACCTGCTGTTTTACGGGTATAAACTCTGGAGCTCTTTTGGGCTTCCTTCTGTATTTTCCACTTTGTCCGCTTTTACTTCTGGCAGGCGACTCTTTTCATTTCTAATATGAACATTGATCTAATCTCCTACTGTATTCTCTTTATTGCTTAAATACCATATCCATTCTGCTTCAGGTTCCTCATCTACTGCAAGTTGTCAAGAGGAGAAGAATCAGAACTAATCTTATCCGTAAAAACATATTCCATCGAGATAGTTATAGTTGCCAGTAAGTATTTTCTTTTCAGAGCATTTTGTTGCCCCTCGTATTTTAATTGGTGGTAGTTGGTAGAAGATCAGGACAGGTACTGCAACTCATTGTCTAGTTTTGGTGAGGGAAAATGACACGAATAGTCCCTGAATTTTGTCCTAATGTGCAATTTGGTCATGAACTTTTAATTTATTCAATGTAGTTCCTGAACTTTAATCTAATGTGCAATGTGGTCCCTAAATTTTTAATTTGTTCAATGTCATCCCTGAACTTTTGGTACATGTTCAATTCAGTCCCTAAACTATATGAAATTGTTCAATGCAGTCCTTTCCATTAATTCAAGTTCAGGGACTATGATGAACATTTTCATATAGTTCAGAGACTGAATTGAATATGTACTAAAAGTTCAGGGATGACATTGAACAAATTAAAAGTTCAGGGACCAAATTGCACATTGAGCCAAAGTTCAGGGACTGTTTGTGTTATTATCCCTTTTGGTGATAATCTGCTTCTGGGACGAAAGGCTGCAATTACTGCGACTGTTAGACGAAATGGATGCCTAATCTGCCTTTTGGAGTCATTTCTGGTCTAGCGTTGTACTATTGTACTATTGCTAAAATGAGATGGGATGAGAACTTTGATCCTTGTATTAGAATAGTAAATTATTGTTAACAGAGAAGAGGGAAAATAAAAGCTTAACAGATTTGGACTCAGGTCATGTATAAATGTGGCCAAAATAAGTCATTGTAAATGTTCTCTTTCAAAATCATAAAGCATGATCTTTTTTCTTCTATATTTTTCCTGTCCCCCATTTAATCATTCTTTCTGAGGCTGGATTCCCAAACTTTGCTAACTGGAATTAAGTAATATGCTGTTTCTTTTGGTAAGTTCTAGTTGATTTATAATGGCAATTACCTGCAATCTTTTTCTTGTAACTTTTCTTTCCCTCTAGAGTAATCGGACAAAATCATGTCAGTCAGATACAACTCCATATTCTTCAGCACTGTAGAGAAAAAGCTTATCCCAGAAGGGACTCTGCACTTCTACCATTTGAAGTTTCTGCATGTTGACATCATGCTTTGTCATTCCACAGGTATTGTTCGTCAAGTGAGAATTTGACAATTGATCATGTTCTTCCAATTGCACGAGGTGGAGAATGGAAATGGGAAAATTTGGTAAAATGATATGCTCGGTATAACTGATTATTGGGAAGTCTAATTGTAGCTTAGTTTTATTTTGGAATTGACCATTTGTTTAGAGTGTTCTTGTGACTGAGAATTTTATGGCCTTTATCTTGTTCATCATGTCTCCACATACATGCATTGCCGTCATTTCAATGACAAATTAAACACACAAATGAGAAGACGATGCCTGGGGAAATGGTTTTGTAGAAACATGAGCAAGAGGACTAATAATGTAGGTCCTGTAAGTGTAGGATAATATACCACATTGTAGATGTGATTGCATAAAATGATTTTTTCTTGATGCTATAAAAGAAATCATTACCATTCTGTTTGAAACTGAGTAATATGTGAAGCATCAAATATACAAATTTCTATTTTAGAGAGTACCCAAGGAATCTTTATTAATGTGCTTGATTTTTTGACAGGTCACGGCTTGTGCCAGATGCAACTCAAGGAAAGGTCAGAAAACATTGGAGGAAGCCAATATGAAACTGATTAATGTCCCCAAGGTTTATATCTAAGGCCATTACTGCTGTAAGATGTTAAGTCTTCCAGTTATAGAGCTGTTGGTGGAGCACAGAGAACACAAATTCTCCAAATTTTACTATGCGTGAACTTGTCAAAAAATCGTAGAATGATCTTTTTGGCTATGAGACTATGACCTTTACGTGGAAGATGAGTGATATGCACCTTGTATAAAATGGATTCCTGATGTTTAAAACTCTTCTTTTGACCAAGCTGTGTGAACTCACTCTCTGTCCTTGCTGATTAACTCAAAAAAGCTATTGTACAAACTCTATCGAGCTGGTTTCCCTTCAGTGATCAGTTCCATTGTTGTCACAAGTCCATTAGCAGAAGAAGATTATGCACCTTGTATAAAGTGGATTCCTGATGTTTAAAACTCGTTTTTGACCGAGCTGTGTGAACTCGCTCTCCATGTCCTTCTGATTAACTTGAGAAAGCTAATTGTACAAACTTTATCGAGCTGATTTCATTCCATTGATCGGTTCCATTGTCATCACAAGTCCATTTCCAGAAGAAGCTTGCTGCATTGGCGAAACTCGACATTTTAAATTTTGCTTAATTCTTGTTCTGATGTACTTTTTGCAGTCTCGATTGAATGAGCTGCTCATAATTTTATCCTACTAACTCAAAAATGATGTAACTTGTGTTGCAGGCTCCAAAGGACTATGATATACTAGCCATACCCCTGACAAGTGCCACAATAAAGATGCTGAAATTGAGGAAGGAAACGCCCGAAGAGTGGCTTCAATATCTAGCAAAGCGTTCGTCTTTGCCCTGATACTATATATGATGGCATTTGTGATGTTCCTTGTATTTGCAGCAGTAAGAAATGTTGATGGAATAGGGTTCTCTTTGCTGCGATCTATGATACTCCATATCTGCCATTGGGGTAAAAGCATTTATGGCCTCTCTGACTCATCTGCTTTTGCGAGGACCCCACAACGATGATTGTTTACTGTACAATATGAAAAATTGAGTAATCTTGGGTAGTTTTTGTTCATTCTTTCCGGAGTCTTTCGCACTCAATTGTATGCTTTCGGTCACCAGGAAAACTGCAGAGTTCTGAGCCTGGTAATTGAGGCCCATCCATAATTGTGGTATAGGTCAATGTTCCTTTCTCTCTGATTTCTATTTTTGAGAACCATTCGTTGCTGTCATTGCTTCTGTCTCATTGTTGGCACACAGAATTTCATGACCCACTGTATCAAGATCCCTAGATTGGCTTGAAAAGGACAGTAAATCGGAATTTATGCGTTCTTTAACAATGGAACACTAGAGTTCTCAATGTTGACTTTTTTTTAACTCGCATGCTGAGCTCTATAGGCGCTTGGCTCTTGGCCCTTGGGTCATCTTGTGCACTCAAGGGGGCTACCATCCGTAAGTTGTCATCCCTTATCTTCACTTATTGAAATGGAATATTAGGGTATTAAACAATGGTGACCCACCCTTTCCGTCGGCCCTTGATGTCAAGAACATGAATTTTGGCACTTCGGGCTTTTTGAGTGAAGATTAGAAAAAGAAAAGCAAAACTAATGCATGACCTTGATGGGTCGACCTAAGATTATACTCTTAAGGCTCGGGAAGGACAGGAGTCATGCTCTTCATTTCGGTAACCGTTTCCGACTGCAGTTACAGCACGACAGGAGTCTAGGGCAGAGTGCTTCTAGTGGCTTTAAAGCTTCATGTTAACATATGTTCTTGTCAAAGAAAATCAAACTTAGGAGGGAAAGAAAAGGACATCTTAATTTTAGGGATGAAATTGCAAAGCTTGAGGAAAGATTGTGGCATTTCGCCCAAGAATGCGACAGAACAAAGCATCTCTATGTCCTTTCGGGATAAGTAGAAGCAGTCAGATTTTTCATATTGCTGAACTCCTGGAGCGATACATTCAGCTTCAGTTTGCATCTAGTCATGTCCATTGCCTTGTCGGGTACATTGTTGGACTGAAGCTAATCTAATCGGATTGAGCTGAGAAATACACTAGGACTAGGGAGGACCACATTAGCATCTAGTCACGCACGTGCAAGCAAGCATTCACCTCAATGTCCTAGACTGCGCGAATTCAGCAGTGAAATCCAATTCCAACCGTTTGATCCTGACTTCATGTATGAGTCAGATGCACATTGCAGTTAGATATCCGATTCTGTTCATCACCAGCTTGCTTTGGCACAGAAAAAAGCTCCCCTGATGTCAAAAGCAACTTCTCATCTCCACTCACTTCCACTGCCACAGAAAGGAGATTCGGCTCTGTTTCGGCAAAATTTTTGTCGAGTCAAACCCAACAGGATTAGCCATTCAAAGTATGCCCCCTTCATTGAATTCTTACATCATGATCTCATGCACTCGGATTCGAAACTCTCATGTCGAGCACAAATGGCCGCAAACCCAATTTTCTTTCACAGGCCAGCTTCAGAGGGTTGGTATGCAAACCACTGACCATAAGAAATAGAAGGAAGATGAGCTCTGTTAACATTGTCATGTCAAACTACAAATCAATCAAATGGGAGATACAAGAGACTTTCAATTTAACAAATAAATCATCACACTGATATCTACAATCAAGACTATAGTAACAAAAAGGTATAAGCCATTGAAATTGCTGCCAACGCAATCAGCGGGGGCAATATAGAAGTGGAGGATGAAGCTAGCTGAATTGTGAAATTGCAGTTCCCTTGTGATATATTTTGAGCGGTAACCATCGCCAAACCTTGGAAATTACAGCTGTCAGGATCCTGATTCTGAACCTGGAAATACACATTGAACGCATATGAGGCGTTCCCATTGGCATCCAATGTGTTACAGGAAGACCCGTATCCGAGAGTTGTGCAGTCTGCATACGTGCAAGCAAAGTTTATGTTATCTGCTAGTTTGCTCAGGTCCTTGGCATTCGGATTAAACATGCACCACTTCTGAGACTGATATTCCACATTTTGCGCAGGAATTAGCAACTTATTTTGACCCTGACCAGAGAGATCGATCGGAAATTTAGGCTGTCCATCGTATCTGAAAAGGCCCCAGTGCCGCTCGAAGTTGCCCGGTGCAATGCTCTTGGCGTCCTCGTCAATAAGACCGAACAAATACACTTCTATATAGCCTGGCCGAAGTGGAGTCCCCGTATTTGCTGCAAGTCTTGATAAGAGCCCATTATAAAACCTGTACGCGTTACCGTTGTTTGCATTTATGTCACCTTCCGTGGGCCAGCCCACCTCCCCTACCATGATGGTCATGTTCCCGGTTCCAGCCGCTTTAAGAGCCGACACCAAAGTGTCGAAGTTGGCGTCAAAGACATTGGTGTATTGAATCCCATTGTCAACGATTGGAGTTGCGCCGTCAAAGAAAGCATAATTGAATGGGAAGTCATTATTGCCGTAAAGACTCAGAAATGGGTAAATGTTCACAGTGAAGGGAGCGTTGTTCTTGGCCATGAACTTCACAATTTGTGTCATGACTTCACTTATGTCACTTCGGAACCTTCCAGCAGATGGAACTGGATTGTCTGCTGGCGAGTCGTATACATCGGCATTTAGAGGAACTGTCACCTTCACAGTGTCTCCCAGCCCAGCTTCATTCAGGGCATTTTGAATGTTCTGAACGGCCGGAAAGGTGACATTCAAAAATGAGCCATTGTAGGATTTGAGGAAAGGCTCATTTCCAACAGCGACATATCTGAACAAACCAGGAAATATGTCAGGACCAAGCCAACAAGAATAGCAAACAAATCGATACATGAAATGCAGATTGCTTGTGTCATTTTAGTCTTCTCAATTTGTATCTACTGCAAATTAGACATCATGAATAGTACTGCTATCAATTCGAGTGTAAGATATAATTGCTACAAGAATAAAAAATCACATTTCTTCAACTAAATTACCACTCGAAACAAATTGCATCAACACACTTCCGGCCTGGCGTATCCATATGCATAACATCAAGAGACGCATGTGGAGCACAAGAGTCAAGAGATATAAAAGCGGTCGTCATTCCATTGATTCGTTAGAAGAATGTAGAAAGCTTCATCACTTTATACAAATGTCAAGCAAGTTGCGTACGAACAGGGATGCATATTAACTTAAAGGTACTGCAACCGCACAAAAGACCCTCAGTTACAAAATCAGACAACTTCCAATCCAATGACACGGTGCCCATCATTAACGATGACTTCAGAAAGATTACAATCTCCAGTCCACCTTGATAGACAAATGTTTAGCAACAAATAGAAAGCGCAACGCCTAAAGAGAATGCAGAACGAAATGAACAAAGTCATGCTCAATGTCGCATACGCAAATTGGAACCAAACAACCATGTAAAAATACCGACACAGGGTAAAAGGGATGAACAATGCCAATGCACATACCTCACTTCAAGCGACAAAATCACGAGTTGTTCCAGGTATGGAAAAACTATTACCACAGCTTATGTTTCATATGCTACTATGCTGACATGTAAAGAAAGCAAAAACGAGCAACTACCGCATGAATATCAATTACGTTTCGACTTAAGATTAAGCCAAACCATTGATTCAGACCAGCAAAATTCCAACTCAATTGTCACAAGGGCCTAAGAGAGGCTCACCTGACATCAACTCCTCCAGTGAAGTTATAGGTGGTGACATTCTTCTTCACCCACTCTTGGGCCCGATCATAGCTGTTCATGACAGCGAGCTGATCGTTCGGAATCGCGACCATGACTTCGATCCCGCTCCCCGCGAGGGCGCTCATCGTGGACCGGTCCGCGTCGAAAAGCTTCACCTTTTGAATCCCATTGTCCTTCAACATCTGCACCACCGTCTTGGGAGGCAACTTGTGGGTTGCCATTGTCCCCCAATTCACGCCGAGCCCATCGACTTCATCACAACCGAACCCGAAGAGAACGATACTACCGCACAAGACCCACTTGAAAAGATCGAATTTTTCCATCTTCCCCGCCTTAAATTCTCCCGGGAAATGCAGGGACTTTTATCGGAAAGAGAGGGAGGGAATGGAAAAGGCGAAAGATGAGCAGCTCCTCTTTATTGACAGGTTCACTTTAGAAAGAGAAAGAGAAAGGGGAGAGAAAAAAACGGCTTTCCGCGAGGTGGGTTTTGGAATATGGGCGAAAAGTGCGCAGTTCACACGCACGTAAAGTGCGATCGTGGAGGAACGCGAGAGAAAGATCCCAACGCCGATCACGTCATTACAGGAACATATGTAACAGAAACAGAGGAGAACAATTTGGGAATCGTTGTAAAATTAAAAAAAAAAAAAAGGAGGAAGAATCACGGGTAAACGACTGAAGGGAAGAACGCGACGATGATGAAGAAGAAGTGATTTCGGAGTAACCCCAAAGGGAAAAAAAAAACAAAGAACAGAAGAAGGAAAATGGAGAAATGTGGGGCGTTGCGTAGAACGTCGAGCTCTGGTTTGTGTATCCGTAGGTTTCTGGAGTTGAGGTAATTATACGGAGAGAAAGAGAGAGAGAGAGAGAAGTAATGAAGGTATTGAATGGAAGAGCAAAAACGTTATGGTTGGACCAGCGAAGCAACTGAACAGAATGGGAGAACGCAACAACTGCAAGAAGATACGACGCACCCAACCACAAGCTAAAACAGCGAGAGAGAGAGAGGTTATGGATGCAAAAAGCTGGGAGCTTTCCGACTTGCCAGAGGAGAATGTGAGAAGCCAAAGGAAAACTAGAAGATGAAGAACAGGGGACGTTCCCCCTCCCACGACGAAAGTGAAGAAAAAAAGAACAGAGAGCAGGGAAGGGAGAGCAGAGCACACGCATATGAAAACCCGAAACCGCGTTAAGCTCCAAAAGCTAGGAGCATTCTGAGAAATGGAAAAGAAGCAAATGAATCGTACATGATTTTACAAATTGGACACTTCCATAATATGTGATGTAATTGATACTTCAGCATTAGACATGACAGATTTGCTTCCTTTATTGATAAGAAACGAGACGGGATCGAAAGTTTTATCAAGCGAGCAACAGCGTAATTCTAAGATTTTGTCCTGATTTCTTAACCAAAAAGAGTAAAAAAAAAAAGGAAGAAAATGAAGGTTACGAAAGGGAAACGGTGAATTTGACCCAAAAAAAACGGGAAACAGTGAATATAAAAGGACAAATGGTTGGAGTAAAACTGAGATCAGCATTCTGTCATTTCTGTCCATAATCAGTGGGATGGTGTCGTTGTCATTGTCATGCGTGCTGCCGCTTTAGCTGATTAAAATGGGAGCGCCTCCCGCTATGCAACGGCTATATGTCTCGTGGATTCCAGCTCTCGAGACAAATTTGACCTGCAAAAAGTGGGATGGGGGGAAGAAATTCTCATCCTAGAAAAGTAGTGACATTGACGTTAATCAATTAAAAGGTGGGTTTATAGAAAACCACGCGGGGAGATAATAAAAAAAATTTTAAAGAAAAAAAATCTCATCTTACTCTCCGCTCTCTTCTTTAACTTTCTGTAAATAAAAATCGTTATACATCTTACAAAGTGCGCAAATGAGGCTATAATGAAATGACGAATTCACACAACTGAGTGCGATGAAGAGATAATCGCATTAAAATTAAAAGGGCTTGAATTCAATGAATCAAATTATCTCAGTACCCTGAAAATTTGATATTTTATAGATCGAATCGATTTAAAGTCGAGACTTTACAAAAGTTGCCATTTTTTTCTTTGGTCGAAGCAAAAGTTGCATTTGTCCTGCCTATTTTACTTACACTCAACTGTTCCTTCGGAATCTTTCTTGATGACAGAAAATGCTATAGAATTTTGGTGAAAGTTCACTTTTATTTTATTTTATGAAGAACTCGTAAGCGAAAGAGAAGGGGCTTTTGTCCACTATCCGTCCTTTTGTAAGACCTTTGTCTGCGGTATTTACCAGTCCTTTTGCTTCGGGCAGTGTGAAAACCAGAAAAAAAGTGCGAACTGAGTTGTCAGATAGTCAGAAAGAGAGAGAGAGACAGTCACACGTTGCATGAGTTCAAGCTTGCCGAGTCTCTCTCTCTCTCTGTCTCTCTGGTTCACTGTTTCCAAAGTGTTTTGGATTGCGAAGTTGGACAACATTGATAATACAGTAAAATCCAACAACACCACCTTTATAGGTGGGTGGTCGGCGTCGGCGAGGGCGAGGGCGACCGAGAGAGCCGTTGTTGCTGAGATTCTTCGTAGAGAGAGAGAGAGAGGGGTGCGAGAGGTGATGATGATGCCCTGCTGCTGTGTTTGGCAAAGTGCACCTGCAGTATTCCTGCTCTTGTTTGGATGGCCAAATGCAAGCGTTTGCTGCATGCTGTGATCAAGAAGATCATTCCCACAACAATACCAAAAGTAAGGTTCAACATCACGTATCGATTTCATTGATCCATCTTACTAAAATCAACTCATTAGTCTAAAGGTGATGGCTAATGTGAAAATTTGATTATAGCCCCAATATTGATTCATGTCGTTTTCGTTTTTTCTTCTATAACTTTTTTTAGTTTTTTAAATTTGTTGATGAAGTGGTGGCCCTGCATGAGACTGAAGTGTCTTCCTTTCGGGTCGAACTCGAAACTTGTCCTTCACCTCAATACGATGGCTAGCCTAAGGGTTGCTGACTTTGTTGACTGGTTGGTTCTTGATGCAAATAATATGTATGGATATGCTACAACTTGTGAAATTTCATCCAAAAATTTAGAGCTATCTCCCCCGAGCTTTTGATTTCGTTCCACCAAATGCCGTTGTTCCTACATAATTTATCTTGAATTAATAAATGTCTGCCTTTACTTGCTAAATAGTGTGAACTCTTGAATTGAATCCTTTAAGTGAAATACAACCCGCGTGCAATGAAAGCACAAGTGTGATTGTTTTGTGGGAAAACACCACCAAAAATCCCAAAATATTACCACTTGTGATGAATTTATCCTGAACTTTTTTTGTGATACGAAAAATCCCAAACTATATCACTTATGACATATTTACCCCACAATACATTTGTCTAAGGGCATTTTCATCTTTTTCTTTTTTTTGTTTTTTTTTCTTCTCTCTTCCCTTTGCCCTCGCCGGCTTCCCTCGCCGACCACGGCGGAGGGAAGAGAGAAGAAAAAAAAAGGACAAAAATGCCCTTGGACAAATGTATTGTGGGGTAAATGTGTCACAAGTAGCATAGTTTGAGGTTTTTCGTGTCATTAAAAAAAGTTCAAGGTAAATTTATCACAAATGGCATAATTTGAGGTTTTTTGTGGTATTTTCCCTTGTTTTGTGTGTCACAGTAAAATCTATTTGATTAAAGCTACCGAAGTTTAAAAATGATTCATTTGTTACGAAATTCTTCTTCTTCTTAAACAAGATTGAGACCTACCTCACCCATTAATGGAACGTTAAGGTACTGGCGAAACAGCAATTGAAAACCAACGATACACCCAAGCCCAAACTAGTCATTTGAAAACTACAACCAAGTTTTTTGAGACCGACGATAAACCTGAGACCTTTAACTAACAAACTAAGTCTTGGATCACTTTACCGACTACCTGATTAGGAAAACCAACATGTTGGTAACTTACCATCACTTAACGGACTAAACAAGTTGCCAGTCAAAATTTGATCGCGTGTGAAAAGCTACCAACATTATCATTGATTTACCAACATGAAACGATGTTTTCTATCCATGGAACAAAAAGCAATCTGCCTGTACACATTGTTGCCCGACTATGTTTTATGCATCTGCGGGAAGAAAGCACGCAGACCTTGTATGTTTCCTACTTGTCGGAATTTCCACAAGAATAATGTTGACAACATAAGTGCCAACTTCAAATTACAAAACCGCGTGATGGTAAATAACTGAACACTAACAATTACCCCAAGCAAATTTAGCAGCCTCAATCCACTCGAATGTGGTAGTTGCTTTGGTCATATTACCACCAAATTAGAGACGGGCAGGCTCGGCAAGTGCCATTTTACTCGAGATGTCAACATACCCAAGCCTTTTGACTAGTCCTTCGGATTGTAAGGTGTATCTTGGCGCATTTAGCGTCTAAGCCAACCCCAATTTCAATACGTACGAAACAAGATATCTGTAACAGCTCTTCAAGAAATTATTCCCACGGGCCAAAAGTAAATATCTGAATGAAGGAGGATTCCAGTAAAAAGCAGAAAAGTTTCTCCCTCAAATTCAAGCTGTCCAGAGAAAGTTAAAGGTGAGGGTAACTGATAGAACTATTCGTCATATAAGTGCATAAGGACACAGATCAAATTTTACAGAACGGTCCCGAAATGAGGATACAAGTTGCTGTGAAAAAGGGATGACATTTCAGCATCCCGAGAAACTCAAATGGTCCAAGGAAAGAGGAGAAAGGTAAGAATCTCAATGAAGCAGTAAACCTGTAACCGGATTGTTATGCACATGAGGACACTGGGTGTTTCTGGCTATCTGCACTGGCAAAGCCGAAGGTCGTGTAAGCAAAGCTCAGAGAAAGCAAATGTCATGGAGTTAAGCTTAAAAACAAAATGTAAAAAGAACGACACTGTCTGCAAATTAACGAAAACAGAAGGCTTTTGGAATATTACCAGTATAATCGGTATAAAACGAACAATGAAGTCAGGGTTGATAACCACTGCAGCAGAATCTACAGGTCACCTATAATACTATTTCGTCTTCAAGGTAACGGTAGTCAAATGTGAAGTCCTTCTTGATCCTCTGGCACCTGAAAATCAAATTGAAGAAGGCATGCAAACAATTAGTAAAAGTTCTATCTTGCATTTTTCCAAACTATTTATGGCTTGGAAATCAACATAACTTATTCATCAAGACTGTAGAAAACAGTCACACAAACATGCACTGAACATGCGTAGCTCAGGCAGACTGACCAGCCGAGCATTTTCAGGCACATGCCTTGCGACACACAGGCATGCACGCACTCCCTAAGGGCACAAAATTTTGAAATAGTAACAAAATTTCTGACAAAAGGGAAGAGGTAAAGATTTTATTATCAGTATGTTGCTTACAGACTTTATCCCAAAAAGCATGCAGAGGCAAATGCAAAAAGCAGACGTGGTATAATAAAAGAGACACTTTCACGAGTGAAGAACTTCGATCAGACTCTACTTAATATACAGGTGTAAGCAATGGGAATCTATTTTCTTACAATATTAAAGCCAAGTGGACTATGATGTAGGCAACTAAGAGGATATCCGATTCATCTATTGCATGTGAATAGTATATATGTCTATCTTAACCACATTGCTATCACAGATATAGATCTACAAAATTTTCTCACTGGCTCAAAATAATTGGTTTGAAATTCACTTCGATAAGGATATAACTATCTGCCCATTGCATGGGACCTCTCTAATCTTTTCCTTTTTGTCGATATCAATGGGTATGCGGGGTTCTTTAAGCACCCAAGTAATCTACACCGGGTGTGACAAGTCTCCCCTCCCATACATACTGCCTAATTACAAGAGACACATAGGTCTGTTCTCCTGGGCGTGGCCCCAAAAAAATGCACAAGCGTGGTGATTTAAACCCAAGCCATGAGTGAGGAGAATGAACACACTTGCCACTTGAGTAATCCCTTGGGGTTAGGAACCTTTTAATCAACATCCTCTTATCACATTCAAAAGATGAATGGCTGAGACAAGGGTTTTCTATAGTCCTGATAATATGCATGTTATTTACCAAGTAAAGGCTACCA